TAGATTCAATAAATTCTTCCCTTGGCCTGAACTACAGAATATTAGCCTTTTTATCAAGGGTTCAGGTCTGATAAATGATTGGCTAATAGGTAAGTCAGTTCAAGACTGATTCTGATTCAGAATTCTTCTAAATTGTTATGATTTTCTTCCTATGTTTTTCCAAGTTGCCTTTCCCACACTTGACTGGCAGCAGTCCTGATGACTCACTTTGCAGAGCATTTAACCTAGTTTTCACGGGAACAAAACTTCCTTTTCATATTCATTTCCATTGGTTCCTGTGCTGTTTAATTACCTTGCATAATGACAGCAGGTACAGTTGGAGTAAGGAAGTTTGGATACAAACTCAGCTGACTCTTGGTAAGCCAACAACTCAGCTGGTGAGAGCAGAGGGTCCCAGCCAGCTAGAGTGTGTCCTCTTGGCCACCGGCGTCCACACGGCCTCTGCTCACCGTTTCCACTGAAGGAATGGGGACGGTGGCTCATTCTGCAATTTGGTTAATTTGGCTAACGTGTCAAAAGCATCTTTTAAAGTTTGACTCTCTAATTCTCTCTCATTAACTGTGAGTCCTAGCTAAAACTCATTTTGCGATGAGTGAGATTCTTTCTTTATGATTGCTGCTTTCAGACTTGTGTGGACCCCCATACTGCCTGGCAATCTTCTATTGCATGTCTTTGGCCAACAGGCTCTCCCACTCTCCACAATGACAATTTCAAACCTCCTCCACTCTCCTTGCCCCTCCGAATTTTCCATCTTCCACTTTCTGTCTCAGCACACGATCTTGCCTTCTATTACACAAAGAAAATAGAACCATCAGACAAGAAAACAGAAATCCTTAAATCACCATTTCCAAACCTAGGACTACCTCAGCATTTCTTCTTGACCTCTGGTTACATAGAGAAGCAGGGTTAAGATTTGACCCCTCCCAGGAGACTTTCTGCCAGCAGTGATTCCCACTCTTTCCTGTTCTTCATTCTTTCTCTGGGCCCTTCTCCCCGCTGTCAAACGTGCTCAGTTTGTTACATTGTGCAGTGGGTCTGTCTGTGCCTGGCCACCCAGTCTCCATTCCTCCTTCTGGGGCAAACATCCTGTGTGTGTGGTCCTGGCGGGTCCTGTGTGTTGCTTCTGGAGCTGCATTAAGCCAGGTAATCCTCTCTATCCAAGGACAAAGGGCACATGGCCGTAGCTCAGCCGAACAAGCTCCTGCTCCCCGGGATCTTTGAATCTCGAGCTGCGAGGCATACGAAGGACAAACAACTGGGATCCTTCCTTCCAGGGTGGTGACCACACGAGACAGTGGGGTGGCCCCTACTGCTGAGGTCTGAAGTCACCTGACCTGTCTTGAGGAATCCAGGCCAACCCCGAGTCATTACCTTCCATCCCAGGCTCCCTGCAATCTTCCAACACATTCCTTCTTTGCTTAACTTAATCACTGTTGTTTTCTGTTGCTGGAAATCAAGGAAACCTACTACGTGATGAGCCATATGAAAAAAAAAATGAAACAAAAGCAGCACCAACACCAGAGAAGTCTCTTTCTTGACCCTACATCCCTTTCCAAGTGACATCTTTCTTTCCTCTTTATAACCAGGCTTAAAAGAGCTGTCTGCACATGTACTGTCTCCCATTCTCCCCTTTGACTCACCCCTTCGCCAATTCCAACGGCTTTTGCTCCATCGCTTCCATGAGGATGTTTGTTCAAAGCACCCTAGGTCACAGAGACGAACCAGTTTCCCTCCTTCCCTTCTGGCTGCTCCTTCCCAGTCCTTTGCCACATTCTTACTCACTCGGCTGTCTTCTCCACACTTTCCCTGAAGATCATATCCAGTCCTGTGACTTCAGGGACCCATGTGTCTGTGATGCCCAGACCTCCTGGGAAACCCCAGTCCTAAACGGGCCGCTTGCCTCTCCACCTGGTGTCTCACCCACCCTCGCTTGCCCCCACTGAACTCCTGAGCGCACCATACCTGCTTCTCTTCTGTTGGTGTCTGGGTCTCAGGAAAAGGCACTTGACCCGTGGGGTCCTAAGCCGGAGCCTCTTCTCTCTACCAAAGCTATCAACAAACCCTACTCCTACCTGCACCCCATGCAGTCCTAGCTTGTATCTCCAGAATTTGATGCAGGAAGAGCTTAATTAATATTTGATCAAGTGACCGATAGCAGTAAGAACACTCCACAGAACACTCAAACCCCATCTTTCCCACAGACCTGTGAGGTAAGAATAATTGTCACTCTGCAGAGGAGGAAACTGATGCCCAGAGAGAGGGACAGTTTTGCTTGGGTATGGGATGGCAGAGCCAGTGAATATGTAGGGGAGACCACAATTCCTGTTTGACTCTCCACCCTGGGCTCTCCCTGGGCAGCCACAGAAGCCAGGGGAGCTTCCCTGACCAGCCACACATGGAAGAAGAGGACCAGTTGGACAAGGAGCCAAGGCCAAAGTGATGTTCAGAGACCTAGTGGCAGGTCTGGCCAGGCTGCATTTGCAGGCATCCAGCATGGCAGATACCTGCTGACACCAGCTCCAAGTAGGACTCCTTGAAACACTCACAGTGAGGTTCTCAGAGGCTGCTCTGATGCTCAGGGAGCTGGGGGCCCCAGATGTGAGCCTTGGATCTGGCACCAACTCTCAGTGTAACCCCATATAGCTCACCCCTTTCTGGGGCTCAGTTGACATCCCTAAAAAGGGAATATGGGTAAGATTCCTGACTCGTTGGAGGAGGTGCCCTAATTCCTGGGAGAGAGTAGGAGTGGGTGGTGGCCTCAGCAAACAATCCCCAATTTGCACCCTTTGGGTGGGATTCCCCGCCAGGCTGTGGGTGGTGGGGAGGCCAGCCATCTGCCAGACCCTGCGAGAGTGCAATAAGACCCCACTGGAAAGGGGTGCTTAGGACAGTCTGAGTCTTCCTGAGCAGAACCCCTCTTTCTCCACCAGTGAGTGAGCCCCACCAGTTACAACTTGAAGCTGTTACTGACCACTGTGAGGGCGGGATGCGGGGACAGCAGAGAAGGGAAAACCGAGTTTTCCAGGCCGTAAGCAGCAGGATCTCAGGCTGGAGTGTAGACCTTGGTGCCTGTCATTAAAAGCCAGGTGGGGAAGCGTGAGGGCATGACCCACAGGGCCAGGTGCTGTGCGGTGACATGGTAGTATAGTTGCCCCTCTATATTCACGGTTCTGCACCTGCGGATTCAATGAACTGCGGATGGCCAACTTAATACATATCCGCAGTTGGTTGAATCCAAGGATGTGGAGTGTGCCCATAAGCTTATGGGACTTGAATATCCATGGATTTTGGTATCCTCGGTGAGTCCAGGAACCAGTGCCCCACGGATGCAGAGGGACGACAATCTGTTGTCTTCTTTGGTCTATGAGACAAAGTGCTGAGGGGCAGCTTAGGGCTACAGCAGGAGTACAAAGGCTTGGAGGGGTCCCACATGCAGAGAACACACCAAGGCATGGGATGGGGGCAAGGGTTCGAGGTCCAAGCCACACCTCCTGCATAGTGCCACACACCCTTCCTCTGGACTAGGTGCCAGGTTAGGGATCACAGCGAGTGAATGGTGCACACTCCTGCCTGAGCTTTCCATTCTCCAGTGTCTGGGGAACTTTCTGCAGTTCCCTTGCTGATGCTTGGTGGAGGCACAGGGCTGAGAGAGACCAGAAAGGTGAGGCTGGGGCCTGAGGTCTTCCCAAACTGGAAGAGCGGCAGAGATGAAGTTGCCTCCTGGGCCAGTAAACCAGAGGGGTTTATACTCCTCTGCAAAAGGCTGGGCAAGCAAATCAGCGGTCCCTGGAGCTGGCATCCACAGAGAAGGGCCGACACTGGGACTCAGTCCTCAGATTCTGAGGTCCAGAGACAGGACAAGTTTCTCTTACCGCAGGGTCCTGGGGGTGGGTGGTAGGAATCTCTCCAGGGCAGAACAGGTTAGGGTTAGGGTTAGGGTTAGGGCTAGGGTTAGGGTTAGGGTTAGAAGCAGGCTGTCTGTTGGGAGTTTGTGAGTAAGGAGCCCTTGGCTGTCAGAGATTGGGGGATGCTGAGAACAGAAGTACTGGTCCCCATCCTAGCAGGGCAGGATCAGGATTTCCCGAGACTGGCTCGTAGGGCGGGGAGAGAGCGAGGCAGGGCGTTCTGAGGCTGCAGAGAGCAGCGACAAGGGGTGTGGGCTTGGGTGGGGTCGGCTTACCCCCGCATGGTCACTGCGCACCAACTGTTAAGGTCCATGGGGGCAGGCTGGAGATCGAATTCCCGGAGTTGGGTTCGCTGCGGGGCAAACAAGGACGTAGGCGGGGAAAGGGGCGGGAGAATACGGGCTTTGCGGCCGAAATTGGGGACGCAACTCTGAGGATGGATGGAGCCTGCGAGGTTGGGGTCGTGGGGGCCGGGTGGAGGGCTCTGAGGACAAGGCTTGGAGCATGGAGAGGCCGTGGAGGCAGAGCACAAAGGACAGCGTCGGTCTTGGGGTCTGCGAGAGTGAACTTGAGAGGATGGGACCCTGGGGTCCTGGGCTTGAAGAATGGGGAGTCCGCAGGGCCGGGGCTAAGAGGGACCCGGCCAGGTATCCCAGGGTCTCGAGGGCGGGGTCGGAAGTTCGAGATCTGTGAGAGACCGGGCCAGAGTGACCAAGGGGAGGGAGGTAGGGGGTCGCCCGAGGGGCTGTAGACCTCGGTGTGGGAGGGAACAGGGGTCGAGGGGGCGGGGCCATGAGCCCTCGGGCGAGGAGCGGGGTCTGGGGCTGGGGAGTTGTAGGGAGCCGAGCCTAAACGACTGGGGACGGCAGGGTTGGGTTGAGAATATGGGTGTCTTGAAGGGTCGCTGGGCAGGCCTGTTAAACTGGAAGTCATGGTGAGGGCGGGGCCGAAAAGACGGGACAGTGGGACGTGCGTGAGGAGGGGGTCGGAAGGAGAACTGAGGGCTCGTGGGGCAGAACCGGGGAGGGCTCGTGGGGCTGTGGGCTATGGGGACAGTGAGGGGGAGTGG